GTGGCTCGTGAGCCACAGTTTGCCGATCACGGACCTAGCAGATCACAAACATGCCAATAACTCACTGCCACTATGTTTTTAAATGTTTTAAAAGCAAAAAAATTAAATGATTTTAATTGATAATGTGAAAATCTTGCCTTAACTTTTGGGGCCATATATGCTAAAGTTAAATTTTTCCTGTACTATCCAAGACATCATTAATTTAAGGAAACAGAGAAGGTTCAGACATGGTGATTATTTTACTTTCACTTAGTACCACTTTGGTGGCTGTTTTTACTGGACTATATTAACAATCCCCAAAGATATTTTGCTTGGCAACTTCCTTTAAGAAATAAAACCATTTGGAAACTGTTTTGTAGAAAAGATCAATTGAGTCCTCTACCTTTTAGAAATATTTTAAAAAATGAGTATCTCCTTCCTATTATTCCAAGATCCCAGCATTTATTTCACTGTAAGCATTATACTTGGGTCTATAAATGCCAAATTCATAAGAACAATCATAAATTTAAGCATTTTCCTATGAATTAGAAGTTATCTATTATGAGTAAGTTCTATGTAACAAAATATGAAATTACAAAGTCAGTTATTTTACATTTATTTACTAAATTGACAAAAAAAAACAAAAATAGTATTGATAAATTAAGACAAATAAACAGTAGGCAAGAGAAATGAAACTAATTATTAAAAAGAAAAAAGTCACATTAATTAGAACTACATGTAAAAAATACAAAACTTGGCCAGAGTTAACAGAAATATAAAACCACTGGGCAGATAGCAATTCCAAGTAATTTCCCAATTCTAATACCTTAATGTTTCTAATATCTAAAAAACTCACAAAATCTGTATTTTCCTTTTAGTTCCCTTAGAACCAGATGGTAATATGCTAGAGGCTCATCCATGATCATTATACGACGTGCACAGTAAATTAGAAAGCATGCTGCTTCCATGAAACCAAATTGCATTTGTTTGGCTCTTAGAACAACAAGTTAGTGCAGTTTTAAAGGATTTTGAGGACCCTTGCTTATGCTGGCTTCTAGGCACTAGTCTAAAGGCAGAATTTAATATTCCGAAACACTAAGTGCTTCTAAAAAGAGCGTGGTAAAATTGCTTTAAAGGGTTTACTTTACTTTTAAAAGCATCTGTTGCTCCAGGTGCATGGTTTTTGTCTGGATGAAACTTCAAAGCAAGCTTTCTATAAGCTTTTTTCAAATCTTCATCGCCAGCATCTTTGGTAACTCCAAGTACTTCATAGTAATTTTTACATTTGTTTATGCTGTGAACAAGAGAGTGTGTTATAATGAAAATTTCAAGGAAGAAGTTTATGTAATAGCTCTAATGTTTTATTTATTAGAAGAGTATAAACAACTGTTTGTGGACTGATTCCTCAATATCAAATGATAACTTATCCTATTAAGGGTTAATGCTTTGATCTGTTTTTCGACCAGACCATTCCTCCAACCTCTTCTCAGTCTAAGAAGAGTTGACCATGAGAATGTCCTTGGTGCAATTTATCACAACTACATAGAAGTAAAGCAAAATCCATAACAAATGTGGATGAAGGACAGAGCACAGAGGATAAGAACAACTTTTAAGCATAAAGAAAGTCAATAATCCTCACAAGTACATTGTAGCTAAAGAAGAGTATATGTTACACTCAAGAGTTTTGTTGTCCTGAAATGTATATCTAACCAAATACCAAAGCAACAGTTTAGTGCATGCAAAAACACTCACAGCACACTATGATTTAAATGTCGAGGCAAGTCAATTCAGCCCGGCCATGTTAAAGAGAATTCACTGGGGAAAGATCATGGGACGCAAAAATGTTTGTTACTCCCATTTTCACTGTGATAAGCATATTCTTAAAGATTACAGTAAGTCCGCACTTGATGTCGTTGTGTGACTTAGCAAAATGATGTGTAACAAAACAAATTTTACCATACGCTAATTTACATAAGCAAGAGTTAAGTTCCTACAGCACTTCATCAATGTTATAATGAAACAACGTTGAATGAATCATTATCCAAGGACCTACTGTACTTACATAGTTTATAAACCTAAAGATGTAATTGATTTAAAGCTGGAGTCTTTAAAGTATATTAGGAAAAGAAATACTCTAAATGGAACAGAGAACATTAATTTTTTTGGGGTCCTAACATTCTCTCACAACCTAAACATTTTTATTCACTAAAATCGAGGTACATCGTACACATTTTTATAGCAGACTTTATGACTCTAGATGTGTTCCATGTGTAAGTGGCTTGATGGCAGAGGTAGTAACAGGTAAAAAGATCTGAGGCGTAATTGTTCACTGGCAGCAAAAGTGTTTCAAACACTGACTCAGAGTTTTCAAAGAAAAGAGACAGGATTGATCTTTTTTTTAAAAACTACTAAATATATTAATCATCACACCGCTTGGTACATGATAGGCTCTCAGTAAATATTTCTGGGATAAATGAGCCTAAAGCTCTTCTTTTATAATGAAATCATTTATTATTTGGTATATTAAATAGGGGGGAAAAAAGAGAGAAGACCTTATATAAAATTATAGAAATTTTTCCATAACACATAAATTAAAATCTGATACCCAATCCTTCTTTATAATAATGATAATTAAAATTGGATTTTTCTACTTTAGATAACAAATATTAACACAAGTCAATTTTATTTAATAAATATGACATTTTCTTTATTTGGTCAAATATTTATTGAATAACAACTATGTCCCAGATAGTGTTCAGGCACTTGAGATATATTAGTGAACAAAACAGAGAACGATCCTATCATAAAAGAGACTCACTCTCCTGAATATTAGAAACTATGCAATAGAAAAAAGGGGAAGGGAACATTTATAGAACACTACTATGTGTCAGGCACAGGCTTCTAAAAAGAGTGTAGTAAAATTGTTTTAAAGCAATATCCATGCTCTAATATCCATTAAGAATATCCATGTTCTAATATCCATTAAGCTCTGAAAAACATTAAATTATTCTATAAATATCCTGGTTGCAAAAACCTGACTTGAACTCTGAAAGGTAAAATTAGACCTGAACAAATGTGAAACTCCTACACAGTCTTCATATATCCCATTGAAGAGAAAAGTTGTATGTTTTATTGCAGAAACGTTCCCATTAGGGTCCGAGCTGCTTACCAGTTATGTAACGTACAATGCATACTTCCTATTACCTTTCTAAACATGAATGATTCAAATTACAAACTATATCTGGTCCACTAACTTTTCACATAGAGAATTGTAGAATCTACACTAATAAAAGAAAAAAATGGTAATTGACGTGCGACGCTACCCTTTTCATTGGCTAATCAGGGCTATATGCAAATTAACTGCCAACAAGATGGTGGTTAATTTGCACATGTAGGCACAATGCAGGCAGGCGAAAGGGAAAGTAGGAAGAAGCCCCCTGCCACTGACAGTGATCAGAAACCCAGGGGGGAGCTAAGAGACATGATCAGAGAATCAGGCGCCTTTGCCACCCTGGCCAGTGATAGCAGGAAGTACGGGTGGAGCCAGCGATGGGAGCTGGGCACAGTCGAAGCTGGCAGTCCGGGGAGCTAGGGGTCCCTTGCCTGGGCCTAAAGTGGAGGCCACGATCATGGGGCCGCTGCAGCTGCAGGTCCCCGCTGCCCGGGCAGGACACCTCGGCCAGAGGCATTAGGCCTGGGCAGGGGCAGAGCAGGAGATCGCAGGGAGCTGGGGGTCCCCTGCCCAGGCCTAATGCCTCAGCCAGAGGTTTTAGGCCTGGGCAGGGTCAGAGCGGGAGATCTCGGGGAGCTGGGAGTTCCCTGCCCAGGCCTAATGCCTTGGCCAGAGGTGTTAGGCCTGGGCAGGGGCAGAGCCTGCAACCGAGGGGAGCTGGGGGTCCCCTGCCAAGGCCTGACACCTCTGCCCAGGCATGACACCTCTGCCGGAAGCCTCAGGCCTGGTCAAG